CACACACACACACACACACACACACACACACACACACACACACACACACACACACACACCTGCGCACACGAGCGCAGGCACAAGATTGCAGTGCAGTTGCAGAGGGGAATTTATTCCAGCGGGTGACTGGATGGCAGTGGCCCCGCGGCAATTCGGTATGAGGGGAGCTCACAGAGGCCTTGGCAGGGACCCGTCCCCTGGGAGGTACAGGGCCGATGGGGAGACACGGCCAGGCCCTCTTGTGAATGGGCACCACCAGGGTCTGCGTCGGAGGCCGATTCTTCTTCTATACGGGCTGTTGGTCCCTTGGTACTGGGTGCGGAATATTAGAATCTTAAGGTCTCGCGACAACCCGGACTGCTGGCCCGCCCGATGCGACCACAGATGACCCCGGATCTTAGGTTTCTTCCATTAGCAATTTCTGTAGTGCAGAGACATACATCAGAAAAACGTGAGCACATCACAAGCCAGACAAGGAAGGCACTGACTGCAATGAGAAGTTCCGCAGAGGCTCAAGGGGTAAACATTCCTCAGTGGACATCGTTAAAAACATATCTCGAGGCCACAATGTTTTGCGTTCCTGGTTGGTGGCACAATGCCGAATTGCATCACCAATATGCCGCAGCCTTTCAGGCCGCTGTAGAATCTGCCTCCCTCCTGAGAAACCAGGGCAGTCCATGCAGACAGGGAAAGCGGTGGGGGGGGGAAGTGTGGCCATTGGATAGTCAGTGCAACAGATGAACGGAAAAACACAGGGCCTCCTGGTGGTAACAAGCCCGTTGTACAAATTTTGTAGTCACTGCTAGGCTCTATGATAAAGAAGCAGGTGTAAGCGCAGAGCTGCAGTTAGTAAGAGCAGATCTGACAACATGGCTTCTGACACCTCTGTAACTACAAATAAAATAACGACAACATGTAAGCGCAGAGCTGCAATTAGTAAGAGCAAATCTGACAACATGGCTTCTGACACCTCTGTAACTACAAATAAAATAACAACAACATGTATTGTTAATATGTTATATTAACTTATATATTTTAGAATCGAGTAAGCACCGAGTCCCCAGAAGATAGACAAAGGTAGAGAAGCAATGGAGAGAGAGAGAGGATAACTTCATTAATAATCAGTAACACAATCGAATCGGTTCTTCCACCCCTCTGCACTTCAGCAATGCAAGTCTCTCTCTAAAAGTCACTGATGAAGTCTCTCTGCAGGTATCAGCTAAGGCATCCAACCTCTCTGCAGGTATCAGCTAAGGCATCCAACCTCCAGCATCAATGCTGGCTATGGAGGTTGGCGTCTTCCCTCTTCAGCCTCCCGATGTGACCAGCAGCAGCTCCAGTATCACCAGCACCCAGGTTAAGTCAAGGTAAGTTTCCCACTCGCTCATTCTCTCACCGCCCACCCTCCTCCCACAGCTATCGCACTGGGCACACTTTGTAGCTGTGGCTACCACTCACTCTCCTTCCTTGGCTGGCACTGTCTTCCTCTGTGTGGCGCCAGCCTCTCTCCTCTCTCTACCTCGCCCAGCAGCACTTTGGCCACCAAAACATGCAAGGCACTGGGGGCCAGCTGCTCTTTTTGTCGCGTTGACCAGCCTTGGCCTGCCTCAGCTTGGCGCCTCTAACGGTGGGGATTGGTCGCGATCAGGGCGGCCCAGATTTGCTGTCCGCCTCAGTGTGCCTGGACTTCCAGTAGGCCCTGGAATCTTCTGGAACAAATGCAGACAGCCTTTCATTGTGCATTGACTGCTGAGAAATCTCGGACTCCTAGTCTGTTTTTCCCTGCTTGGGCCTGAATCTTGATTTTCTAAGAGTCAACTATATTGCGTTGGAGCATAGGTTGCCTCGAGTGACCCTGGACCCCACACCTCTTGGCCCTAGGACTTTTAGAGACCCGACTTTTGACCCCTGAATGAAGACTTGGACCAAAGTTACAACCCTCGCCTATGTCTGTGTGGACTTGAACCCAATTCATTCCAATTAGCCGCATTTGTACTCTAAAGCACCAGTACATGCCAGCTATCGGCCGTGAGCCCCTGTCGGAAACCGCCCGCCGCCTATTCATTTTATCTACGGCGCTCAGCCTCCTAAATTTTTGGAGGCTCAAAACAGGTTCTCCAGTTGGCTGGGGCCATGTACTGGTGGTTTAAGCATCTTTGCAAGGATTTGATTATGGCGAGTGTATGGTACTGCGAGGCATAGGCCTCGATGAGCCCTACTGGGCCCCTATTTGCAACAGTGTCGACCGCCCTAAGTGAAGGCAGGCCCGACAGACGACAAGAGGCCTCTTTTGGACTACTTCGCAACTGAGGAAAATTCAGGCAGTTGCGCAGCGCCAGTTGCTTGAAGGCGCCCAGGCCCTGGCCTCCTTTACCGAATGTATCTAAGTCAGGCCCTGGGCGAGATACGCAGCATAGACCCAACTCAGACAACGGGCAGTTGGGGACGGGTAACTGTCGGTGGCCCTGGGTCTGATTCGTTTCGTCTGAGGCCCGGCCTCCCTGGGCTTGCCGGAAGCTGCTGGGCAGGGGCCCAGCGCAGCCAGGCTGCACGCAAGCAGGCTGGCCACTTCCATTTAGGAAAGGGCCAGCCCACGCATTGGATATTCAGGCACTGGCTGCTTTGTGAGCAAGCGCTGCTGCGCTATCGCTTGCCAGGCTCACGCGCTCACGGGCGAGCTGGAAGAAGCAGGCAGCCATAGCCGAGCTGCGCTGCTGTATGCTGGATGGGCCGCATGGTGGTCCTTGGGTGCTAGTGGCATCTGTGAGTTGGGAATGAGGTTGTGAGTGATACGAGAGACATACCTGGTGCATGACGCGTGCGGCATTGGCCGAGGTCTGCTCGTACTTGGGAAACTGTTGACGTCATCAGCGGCATTGTAGTCCAGGCTAGATAGGATCTGCCATTCGTAGTATGGGTGCCGAGCGCAAGATAGGATATCAACATTGGTTCTTCGTTGATGATGATGAGACTACTCCAGCATTGTCAATTATGAGCTTTTGGTGTGATCTTATTTGGTGAAACTCGTGATGCAATTCTGCTTTTGGTTTGAGGTCACGACTATCTGGTCTTATGTGTATGATTCTGTTTGATTGCTGAAGTTATTTTTGCTCATCTTCCCTGCAGTACCGGGCGACTGCCAAAAATTAATGATAGGACTTGGGTACAGAAAATGGGCATACACAGTGAGGCAAAAGTGAATGCCAACTTTCGAGAAGAAGAGGGGTGAGTGAACTCTACCTGGGAATCTCAAGGTACGGGGAAATGGGAACCCAGGGTGAGGAATGATGAAATCGTTGAGGTGAAGAAGATATACTTGGACAGCACAATGGAACAACAAGCATTGCAGAGGAATATATTTGGCCAAACTTGCCTCGTCTGCAATGAGCAGGAGATTCTCTCTCTTGCAGAACTTCACAACCTCTTCCTTATTTTCCTCCGACAAGACCTGCAGTGACAAAGAGTTCCACAGATCAGATATCAACAGTGACTAAATGTCCGGAGCTAAGTCTACTTCTCCTTCCCGACAAGCAAACAAAGGAAACAAAAGTTTTGCAGCACCAAGCATACCATAATCGGCATCATCTCATTGAAAATAAGGCGACTTAGTTTCCACCGGTTCAAGTTAGAGAAAGGGCATGTGAAAACAAATGATGGGTCGATTGCAAGCTTCACATCACAGACTAAGGGCGTTGCCGCATGGCACACGAAACGAAAAACGAAACGAATGTATCTTCCCCCAGAAAATGGCCAGGTTCATCGGTTTGCTATAAATAGTAACGAGTGTATTCTGCCACCTTTGGTGGGCAGATGCCTCGTTTCGTTTTCGTTTCGTGTGCCATGCGGCAAGACCCTAACACACAGAGAAAGAGCTCATAAACTCAATGTCTGATATATATATGCACTCAGGATCTTGAAGAATAGAGGGGGGGACAGCCAAAACAGGAGCAGAGCAAATCGACATCTCATCATTAGTATCACAGGACAGGAAACGCTTTGCGACATTGGGAGCTGTCGGTTTGCAGTCCTAACTGGTGAGCATATGATAATGCACTGACACAACCAAGGAAGATGACAACATGTACAGCGAGCGCATTCGCGTGCCACAGCATTATGAGACTGCATACTCTTCTGCAGCTTTCCGGATGTGCTGGTTATGACGAAGCGTTGTCAGACGTATTGTGTGTGACTATTCAAGAACATATAAATCCCTGAAACAACCACAAATGTGCAACAGTGCTGCCAACAATGATCGACCAACAAAACACCTTCGGACACTCCGTTGGAAGATCATTATCTCTTTTAGAGTAAATGAAACCTGTAGAATTACTAGAATTCAATTGTTTCATTGTCCTGCTGTAAGAACATATACATACATCCTTGGACTTACCTGCCCTGTGGGATTGCCAGGGTTGATGACGACCAAGGCGCGCACTGCAATGCCGCTGTTGCGTGCAGCCTTCAATTGCTTCTCCAACTCCGAAATCTCCAGGCCCCAACCGTGGCTCTCATCCAGATAGTAAGGCACCTATAGCAGCACCATCACCCAAATTGCAAGAAAAATGAGCATTCCCCTGTGATAATTAAAAAAATTGCATCACAAGGCCACCCCCTTGCTTGTGAGCATACTTTTGACCATGATCCTAGGATTGATGCTTCACCAATGTGCGCTCACACAATGACTGGAGACAGTAGGGAAGAATGGTGGCGAGAGGTGGCACGGGGGGGGAAGGCTGTCTCTTATACACATCTAGATGTGTATAAGAGACAGGAAAAAGAGGGGGGAAAGGGGGGGGAAGGGGGGGGAGGGGGGGGGGGGGGGGGTGGAGGAGGAGGGGTTGATGGAAAGGATTAAGCCTGTCTCTTATACACATCTAGATGTGTATAAGAGACAGCATTTATACAGTCCTCGATGCTGATGTTCAAATTGCTGAAAAAGGGGGGGAAAGGGGGGGGAAGGGGGGGGGAGGGGGGAGAGGGCAAGAGGGAGAGAAATAGAGTGGTACTGCTAGTTGTAGCTTGAACGGAGAGGAGGGAAGTTTCCACAACTAGCACATGGTGTGCATCAGTGTTCATCCCAATATGCTGGCACAACTCACTCCTGTGTCTATGTAGCTCTTCAATCAGGATGCATGCAAAACAAAGGACGATAGATAGTCTTACATCCTTGACCAAATGCTTGTTCTGGGGATTATACCACAACTACAACTGTCATCCTCTGCACACAATTTACGAGCACTGGATCAGCACAGACAGCTTGTATGTACATGCTGCTCGTGATTATCCAGCATTAATTTATATCGCACATCAAGTCCTGCAAAGTCATACTCCGGTTTGCTCTCACAGCGAATACAGAATTGCACATTTGGAAACCACAACGCATTAATATTTTCGGGGAAGACACTAAATGACAGTCCACAACAAGAGGTGAAGTGTATCCATCCATCTGCCCTAACATTGTTCTTTATGGCACACACATTTCCAATCTGTTTTTGCAATGATCAAAGGGCTACCATGATTAGCAGTGGAGCACATTATCCGCTAGCCCACGAGTTTCACACTCACTGACTTGAGACTGCTGCCGCTAGTAATTCTTCGGTGACCGTCGATCAAATTGCACAACAGCTGCAGAACGACCAAGCACACTGCACAAACACGTAGCATGAAACCGGGCATACGCTGTATTCGAGAGCGACCAGATACTAATCGTCACACATGCTACTTTACGTAGCTCGAATGTGAACAGCTTCAAAAGTTGGAAAAAGAGAGAGTAGACGTTACCAGAGTGCCTCCCTGGAGAGCAATGGATGCCGAGTAGAGCGGGTACTGCGGAATAGGGACCATAACACCGTCCATCTTTCCTCTGATCAGCAATTTCAGTATATTGTGGACCTGCAAACAAGGGCCAGCACACCAATAATAAAACCACCCGAGGGTCAAACACTACAGACTGTCCAAAAACACTGACTCTGCAGAGAGTCCCTCGCACATCAAGATAACAGACTGACCGCTAAATGACGCGCAACCAAGCTAGGAAGTCTTCGGGTAAAAACTAACACGTACGTGGGGGCAAATCAGAAGACGCCATAGGCATTCCACACAACTAAGCAAGATATGCGCAGGGAGGGATTCGGGATGAAGGACAGAAAGAGAAGATCAATTTGTGTTTGAATTCAGAAAAGACCAGGTCTGCAAAGAGGAACCTGGACGTATGCAAGTCGTGGTGCAGATCATCATGTCAGCATCTACACGTCCAGGTGCATTCCAACCAGGGTGCTTTTCTTATTTCCAAACATGAGCGGGCTGTTCATACACGTTCCTGTAACTTTTCCAAATGGCCCTTACATGTCGAAACAGGGAGATGCAAGCTAGATCCTATCCATGCAGGTCGTGGGCACATCCCATCTGGCAGAAGGGTCATGCACCCAGCCTTGCTCTTTCAATCGATGGATATGTTTCCAAGAAAGGGTTGCATAAGAGAGGGAGAGCAAACAACTGAGAGAGAGACAGAGGTCAGAGAGAGAGAGAGAGAGAGAGAGAGAGAGAGAGAGAGAGAGAGAGAGAGAGGGAGGGAGGCAGACAGACAGACAGACAGA